ATTTTATATTGATAATAGCCTCCAGCCTTGTGCTTATGCCACTGATGTATAAAAAGAAGATCTTTGTAATGAAAGATTAGGGCCGATCTCATTGCATAAATGATCTTGGATATGTAAAATAATTTTTATTAGAAAGAACATCTGATGGGTTGCTAATTTATTTAAAATTTATTGTATTTCTACTAGATTAGAATAGGTTTTTACTAAGAAAGTCTTCGTCTATCACTTTATCAGCTGCTTTCAAAGATTAAGCAATTCTTATAATTTCTTTTCTTGCAACATTCATTTATGTATTAATCAGTACATTTTTTTATCTATGCTGAAACTTAAAAAGAATCAATAAAAACTATATGTTCCTAGAAACAATTTTTTTTTATATTGCTACATTCAATCTATATTTTTATACTGAAAAATAAATTCAAGAAATATTGATAAATCCATGTTGTCAACCTTACAAAAATCAATAATAACTAAGTGCTCATTAAAATCGTTTTTTTTATAACTGAGAAAATAAATATAACCTTAACTCAATTTACATCAAGTTATTGTTTTAATTATTAATTACCTTAGCATGGCTCCCAATATTCTATTAAATAATGATACCTCTAAGGAATGTTCAATGTACCTCAGAATTTCTAAAATCACCAAAGCTAATAAACATTTTCATCGTTTTAACAACACACGGTGTGTTCAGGTCAATACTTTTTACATAATTGTCATTTACAATCCAACTCATTAATTGCATTTACTTCTACTGATATAATAGGGGTAATTATCATAGCAATACCAATTTAAATTCTGCAAGATTATATAATTATCCAGTACATTAATGGATAAATGAATTCTTTGCTCATAAATCCCCACCCACTTAATCCAAAGTCCCAAGAGGTGTTTGGCATAATTTCTCAAAATCTTTCTCCAACATTTTGTCTGTTATTACAAACAACCCTGATAATATAACATTTTTAAAAAATTTCTTACTCTACCCTCAATCTATTTTATCAATTCTCAAGAATACTATTAAAAGTCAATTGTCTAAACATATTAGAGAAAACAAAGCAACCTTTGATAAAAATGATGTAAACACTTTATTAGATGAAAACCCAGTTCTTACTTCACACATTTCATCAAAATCCAAAATGATCTATCACAAAATCAACCAAGGTGATATGAATGCTGCTTGGTATCTTGACTTCAAATTATACTTTAGAACCTAATAATGAATGAACTTTCAATGCATTGGTTAATAAACACCCCAGAGTAAGTTTTCACGGCACATCATGCAAAGCAATGTGCCAGGTGATATCATAAATTTTTAAACTAAACAGGCCATTGAATCCATTAAAACATATCCGGCAGTCTTTAAAGCAATTTACTTCCTTTAATCTTTGGGGCTCGGTTAATTCCTCTAAACAAAAAAGATGATGGAGTTTGACCTATTGTTGTTGGATCAATGTTTCGTCGTTTAGTTCCTAAAATCATCCCTTTCCAATCAAATGGGGGTAGACATCAAACGAAGATCAGAGCTGCAGCGCACACATCCCGAATGTTGCTAGCTAATGCAGATCCAAATTTAATTTTCCTTAAAATATATCATAATAATGCCTTTAACTATATTAAACGAAATCATTTTATCATATTCTGCAATAACTATCTAGAATATACCAATTTCATTTTGCATACCTACTCCGAGCCTACATTCAAATTCTATGACAAAATTATTCTTTCCTATAAGGTAATACAACAAGATGACACATTGGGTCCACTTTTGCCTTGGTGTTCAAACATTAATGAGTTCGATCCATTAAAGCTTTTGTTAAATACTTGGTATTTAGATTAGTGATAGGCCCGACCCGGCCCGAAATTTTTTTTAAAAAATTTTTCCAGGCCCAGCCCGAACACGAATTTTTTTTAGAAACTTTTGCCGGCTCGGCCCGAACCCGATTTTTTTTTAATTCATCCTAAAGTAATAATTATATTTTTTTTAGCTTTTAGTTTATTTTTTATATTTAAGATTTTGTTTTTGCAAAAAATATCTTAGTAAACAGAAAATTTATTTAGTATTTAATTATTTATTTAAAATACTATCAAAAATACCTATAAACCAAACAATAATTATAATGTTAAATTACACAACTATATATTAGATTCATATTTATAATTATCATTTAAAAATATCAAAGCATCAACATTTTCTGGTGACAGTCTATTTCTTCTTTCGTCTAATAGCCTTCCAGTCTTTGAAAAAGTTCTCTCTGAAGTTGTGGACGTTGCAGGAATTGCTAGAATTTTTCTAGCCAATTTTGTCATCTTTGGTAATCTAATTTCATTTTTATTCCACCATTTTAATATATCTTTTTCTGGATCTATATTTTCATTATTCTCTTTTATATTTAAATTCTTATAAATTTCAAGCTCATCTGTTTCTTTTTTTTCATATTCTTCCTCATTGTCCTCCCATCTTTCATATTCATTGCCTGATATATAAAAATAATATAAATAGAACAATTTTAAATGTACCTTTAGATCTTTTAGGCGATTCCACAATTTGAGAAACGCCTTGAATATCCAAATCTATAATATCAATTGAAGGACAATATTCTTCAGAATTAATTATATTTTTGACTGAATTCTCTACTTCTAATATTTCCATTGATGATAACATTCTTAATTTTCTATATTTGGGGCATAAAAATGTCGCTATTTTATGCAAAATATTGATTTTAAATTTAGATAATAAAAAAATTTTTAAATTGGTTTTTATTTCATTGTTTTGATAAAATGAATCATTTAAATCCTCGTGAAGAATATTATTAAAGCATAGCAGTACTTTATGTAAAGTAGGATTAATATCTCCTTCTAGTTCTTTAGTAGCTTTATCAAAAGGATATAAAATATCAATCAAATTTTTCAAAATAGATTTCTCCAAGTTTTCCATTTTATTAATATCTCCCTTGGATGATAAAAAATTGACGATGTCATCATATTGGTTATAAATAGATTTCAACATATTTAATTTTGAATTCCATCTAGTTTCGATATCTTGTTGTAATGTTTTGTCTAAATATTGATTCATGCCGGTTTGTTTAAAATACATGGTTAATTTTTTAGCAGAAATAAGGGTTTGATATATATTAGGAGCGATAATTTTCAAAGATTGTTCCTTAAAGGTATTTCGAAGAACAGTATTTAATAGATGTGCGCTGCAATTTAATCTGGTGTATTTTTCTAGGGCTTTAATTATATTAGCTCCTTGATCAGATATAAATATTATATTTTTCACTTGATCGGGAATTATTCCAATTGCAGCAAAATTTTGTAGCATTTCCTTATGTATGTTCGCGGCGGTTTTTTTCTCTTCTTTAAACTTATTCGTAAATAAAACATGTTTATATAAGGTTTCACCTTCGATATAATGAATTGAAACAGTTATAGGAAAACTTTTTAAAAGAATCTGTCCACATGTCTGTTGTAGCAGAGCATTTTTTATCAAATAATTGAACATTTATTTTATTAACCAAATTTGTTCTAATTTGATCCGTCATAATTATAGCATTTCTCGATAAAGTAGTTGGATGGGGAATAATTTCGCTACAGTCAATATTACCGTAAATGGAGCCAATTTGAATAAAATTTTGAGCCATTTTTATAAAGCCATCTCCAGTTATCGAATCAAAGGCACGCATGTCCTTGGCGCAATAATAGATCAAGGTATCACATAGTTTCTTTTTAATAGTTAAGGAAGAATTTAGATCTATTTTCTTTTGAATATACCTAGTTATTTTAGGAATAGAGGAATCGTCATTCTTAACGCACTTGTGACGTCTTAAATGAGAATTTGCAGATGTGCTTTTATATTGTAATATACTATTACATTTTTTACATTGGACGTAATCAAGTTTTTTGTTTTTATCATCAAATATGTCTTCAAAATTTTCCCATATATTGCTTTTACCTAAATGGGGCATACAAATATATGTTCTATTTTGTATTTGTTTTTTTAAAAAAATTAAATTCATTTTTAAATTATATTTAAAATTTAAGTTTTATAAAAAAACATTTAAATTATTTTGCCCATAATAAAATATATATGACATATGGGGTCTACTTTCTAAATAAATAAAATTAAATATTTATATTTTACAAATAAAAAATGTTGCCGCCTTGTTTCTTAAAAAAAAAGTTTAATTATATATTTATACCAAGAATAAAAGATACATGCCATCATATGGCGTCTAGCTTCTTCAAATAAAATTAAATATTTTTATTTTACAAAAAATATTAGTGCCAATATTAAAAATTTTTTTAAGGCCCGGCCCGAATTTTTTTAAAAAATATTAGGCCCGACCCAACCCGAACCCTAATTTTTTTTTTAAAGTAGGCCGGGCCGGGCCTACTTTTGCAGATCTCTAATTTAGATGATGGTTTCATGGCCGGTGACATCCCTTTAATAAACACCATTCGGGACATTATTAATAATTTTATGTCCATTATAAGTTTATTTCCTAACATGTCAAATTCGGAATCTTCTCTTACAAATTCTATTATCCCAATTCTCCATTTCAATTATACTTCCATCCATGAACTTAATCATCTTGGTTCTTCAATCGGTTGTGTCACTGCAATTAAGACTTTTATCGGAAAAACCTATTCTAATCTAGTCGAAATACAACCAATTTTAAATGAATACTAGCCCATCAAGCGTTCTTTCTATTTAAAAATTATTTTAACATATCAAAGCTATTTAAAATAATATTTATGTTTATAAACAATTTTAAAAAAATTAAAAATTATTAGTTTAATATTTGGTTTTATTAATCTTCATATTAAAGTTAAGAATTTTGACCAAAATATGTGGCTGGCAAAGAATTTAGGGGCCGTGTCGAAAATCTTTTCAAAATTTATCGGTTGGGCCACTAATCTTTGCCGAACTAATAATTTTTGTAAAAACAGTGGCCTCAAAATATACATTCAATTATTGTAATCTCCTTTCAACAAAGAAATACTCTAGAAGAACACTACGACCCTCGTAACGCTATTTCTCAATCGATAGATGACGCATCTGCATGGGTTCAGGATAGGAGCAATCATTTAGAGTGCATGAAGCCCCTAGGGGGAGATTTAACCACCTTAAAACATCAATTAGACCAAGTTCAACATTTTGCCCTTAAATTGGATGCCAAAAGGAATCCTTCCATTCAAGATGTGCTCAAGAATAGCGAGGCTTATCTCAAAAATATAGGATATTACAAGGCGTTGGATATGAAAGGTAGACAACCCTTTTTTAAACAATTCTTTATCTTAATTTTGTTTTTGATAGGGCGTTGACCTCTTAAAAATAATATTTTGTGCTAATCTTTTGCTTAACCTATCATTTGGTATAGAGATTTGAACATACGATTAAAATTGCATCCATAATAATATCTATCTTCTACAGTTTTCCCTCTTTTGACGTTTTAATTTTCGTATCAAGATATCTTATCATTTTTAAATTATTTTTTCTTGGTGTGCACAAGGTATTAACCGAGCATGCGAATTGTATATGTATACCGATTTTTAAAAGGTCTGATTATTCGTTTTTAACTGTATTGTTTATCGGTCGTCAATTTAATATTGGTTAGGCTTCTATATAATATCAAATAACGACAAAGTTTACTTATTTCTATGCATAGATCAATCGCCGCCACACATAGCACTCAGGATCAAAGAAGGAAAAGAACTAGAAAACAAAATCGTAGTGTTGGATCAAAAATGGTGTGATGTCATTGACAATACCAATTTATGGGAATCCACTTTAGCTCAAATGTTGGGGGTAAATAATTTATTCCTTATTTTTATCTAGTTATAAGCCCAGCCTATCCTTTTGGACTTGGTTTTCATTTATTGGTTACTCCTAACTCTTCCGTTAATCTAAAAATATGTTATATCTATCCTATTTTGATATATAAAAACGATAAAGATCCCTTTGATTATATATACATTTTAAATTTTGATATAAAAAGCTCGAAGAATTTTAGACATTATATTGCAATCGTTTGTGTATTAAAATTAAAAAATTTGTTCTAGTGATTTTGGAATTAACAAAAAGTAGATAGGTGTGTTCAATATAAAACGACCACATTAAATCTAATATAATGTTTTAGATCTACTGCAATGATCTAAATAAAATAAAGTGGCCATTATTATTTCTATTTCTCATTCTCTATTATGTCGCACATTGCTTATACGTCTAATTTATTTTTTAGAGAATGGACCATTTTAATAATGCTATGATAGATCTGGATATAAGCTTGAATGAAAATAGAAAAGATTTAGAAAATATCGACATCAAAGCGGATATTAAAGATATAGATAAAAGCATCACCAAATACAATGTTTTAATCAAATTTATTGTTGAATAATAAAATGTTTAATTTTTCATGATTTCTTTTATTTATTTAAATTCCATACATGAAATAAGCATTTTAATTTTTTTCATAATTTTTTTAAAATATTACAATAGAATCTTTCAAAGGAAATCAACGAGAAGCAAGCTCCTCTGATTGCTATAAACGCCAAAGCCTCCGAATTTTCTGCTCAGGGTCTACAACTTTCCAAAGACTACCAGCAAAGATTAGAGCAATTAAATGATAAATTTCATATTCTTAAAAGGGATTTGGAGAATAGGACTCAAGGAAGGGTTATTGATGAATCTCCCAACCTTCCATTTGATAAAGGTGTTGTATACTAATAAATAAATTTATTGATTGTGAATTAATTATAATGACTCAAATCTAAAACAATTTTTTTGAATATTTAGTATATTCCTTGAAAGTCAAACCTATTCTTTTAGGTAATATTTTTAACATTAATCATAACAGCCAAACAAATATCCATACCCGTAAAGGCCGGCACTCCCCTTCAACCATATATTTCGCCCCCGACGAGTGGTCCTTCTAAGCCCGATTTAGAATCTCAAGCTACCAAGTATTCTCAACCGAAATTTACCAAAGAACATGAAGATACCCTGCCAGGTATAAACAATCCCCATTCAAAACCTATATTTAGAATAAAGGTGTGCAATGGGCGGGATCCGCCCACTCGTTACTTTGATTTTTTTAACCCGCTCGCTAGTTTATAATTTTTTTAAAAAAAATTATCCTTTCGCCCACCCATTTATCTATAAATTTTGTTTAACCCGCCCGCCTAATGCTTAAAAATTATTTCAATGTCTGGTTTGGCTCTTTATTTATTTATTTTAATGTATTTTTAATTAAACATCATAATATGCAATATTATGGAAAAACTATTATATTCTCATTTTACCTGAAAAATATTTAAAATTCACCCGCCCATTACTTTAAAAATATTCTTTAATTCCCCGCTCCTCGCCCAATGGTGAAAATATTTTAGAAAACCCAACCACGCCAGCCCGAAGTATGGGCGGTCGGGCATAAACCCGCCTATTACAGACCTCTAATTAAGATATAGTTTTTTAACGTGAGATACAAATTTTAATATTGTAGAAACGTCGCTCACTCCTAGATGGGCCAAAGCAATGACTGAAACGGGCGTTCCTTATTACATCGAGTAATTAAAATATTTTATTTTAATAATGATTTTATATACTTTATATGATCTTAAAATATCAAGAGAAGTATATTATGGTTGTATTAATTTAAAATATAAACTTTTTTTCTTAACTTAAATAATTAAACATTGAATAAAATACAAACTGATTGAAAAATAAATTTGTTAATCAACGTATTTTCACCTATGATGTGATTAATTTCAATAAAAAAATTGAAGCACAAAAACTGAATCGACTTATTGGGCTCACCCCATGATGATGGAAATAATGAAAAACCTAACGGAAGTTAATTACATCAAATACTCGGCTTACCGAACAGCTATGAAACTCAGGATTATTCAAAAGAGGCTTTTTTGTAAATTTCACATATTTTTAAATAAAATATAAATTTAAATTGCTTATAGTTTATTGAGCTGAACTTGAGCCGTAAAATCGGTCAAACCCTTTTTTATGAGAGTATCAATTCAAAAAAAGAGTGGGTTAGGTTCATGTTCAAGAAATAATCACTAAAGATATATTGTACATTTGTGTCTATTATATTTCCCACGTGGACATTATTCGGTCATAATTATAAATAATATTTTATGCTTTGAAAAACCATAATTATTTTCTAACATAAATATACTCTTATTGGATATATAAATTTATCTATCCTTTCTCTATATTTAACTAAATTAAGTGTATCTTCTCAACTTGGGAACAGCCATCGACATATTCGATGCCCATGGGTTGAGAGGTAAAAATGAGGATTACATAAGGATGCCAGAAATCACCCAAATCAGCAAAGATATTTACAAGACCCTATCTTCAGAACATCCGCATAGTGTTACTAATGTTCCTTTATCTACTGATTTATACGTTGATTGGCTTTTGGACGTTTATGATCCGTAAATTTAAATTTAAAAATATATATTCTCTAGCTCATTATATTTACGATTAGAATGAATCAAGTTGTTTATCTAAATTTATTTTATCCATTTATAAGATATAAAAGTGTAATCGTATCAGAGTTTTTTTAACATGTTAGTTTTAGTGTATTGTTATGATCGAAATTTATTATAAAAATCTGCGCTTGCTCATTATCTTTTCCTTTAAAATCAACTTTATAATTTATTAAATTTAAAATACATAAATTTTATTTGTTTATATTCTTAACCAGATTAAGAACCGGTAAAATAAAAATCCTCTCGTTAAAAGTTGCCACAGTACTATTGTGCCGAGCTCATTTGAGCGATAAATATAGATGTAAGTGAAATTTAATAATGGTATTAAAATGAAAATTTATTTTTCAACAAAACAATAATATTGTAAAATATATAACCCTTCACAATATATATTTTTTAAGAATTTCAACTAGGGTCCTAAAAATATGAATGTTATATTTTCTTTCTCTTCTTGCTTTTTTTGCCTAATTGATATCACTATTATAAAATGAATTTTAAAAATATTTAAAAAAATCAGGAGATGGTAAATATTTTCTACCATATTTTGTAATAAAATAGATAAACATTCATTAAATTATCAAAGCTGTTGCCGAATATTTAAATAATGTATAACATTATAATAGGGAAGATAAATATCTTGTTGCCATTGCTTTTACATTTGAGCTGAGATTTTTGATTTTGCAGATTTATAATTTCAACTATAATATTTATTGAAACCAATCAAAAATTTATATTTTTTCATAAGCTTACATTTCCAAGATTCATATTCCCTAAAACTTGACAATTTGTGATTTTATATTTAACTTTAACAAAAAATAACAAAATTAAGATTTATTCCAATTGATAGCCGATCAATCTGGAAATGCTTCTAAAGAAAAAGTGGCCATATTACTAAAGGACATGCTGTTGGTAAATAGAAAAGATTCCTTATAATATAAAATTTAATATTTTTTATTCTTTAATTTGATTAAATATCTTTCTTTATTAAATTCTCTCTCCTTTTCTTCATTAAGTATTAATTCTAACATTTAAAAAGCACGAAAATAAATTTTTTTTTAGAAAGTCGTTATTTATTTTTCCTGCATTTTATTTGACATTGCCAATATTTAAAGAGAAATATTTTCTCAGCATAATAACAAAATATCTATTTTATTATTTACTAGTATAATAAATTGTTCAATATAAAAATTTTTAGTAATATATCCTTTTTTAAATGTATTTTAATGGATTTGCAAATAAATATATCTTTTTCGGTATTTTAATTGATTAGTAAACATATTTCTCTCTATTATTTTACTTTTTACCAGACAATAGTGATCAAAAAATATTGACCAATTTTGTATATATATATTCTATTTTTGTACTATATTAATTTAATACTGATAAAAGAAAAGAGAATATACTGATCAAAAAATATTGTCGGTTTTAATTATTTACCTTTTAGCAAGCATGAATTTTATTTAAAAAAGATAAGATTTGAAAAAAGTGTAAAAAAATGAAGAAATATCAGAAAACGCATGATTTTTTAAAAAATCCCATTAGATTCCTAGATATTTTGGGGAATCATCTGCTTTCGGAGGTACCGACCCTATCCCTAGCACCGATAATTGCTTTCAATTTTCCCAATCTTTCCGACATCAAAATTCCCTACCCCAACATAATTCATCTGATATACGCGCTTCGGAGTTTATAAGATGGGCCCAAACGGATCCTCAATCTATTGTGTGGTTACCAGTTCTTTATAGATTGGCTGCGGCCGAGACCGCTAGGCACCAAAGCAAATGCAACATTTGTAAGGCTTACCCCATAGTGGGATTCAGGTTTTGGGTGATTAGATTTAAAATAATTTATATAAAATATTCTTGTAACTTTGTAATTATCATTTAATGAATCGTATTTTATTATATTTTTAGAAAAAATTTGATTCCTAGCTTGGAGACTTTTCAAAATTTTTTTTAAATTATATTGTCAGAAAAAATTTGATTGCTAGATTCGACTTAAAAAAACTATTTTTTTAATTTTTGCATCCTTATAGGTATCGTTGTTTGAAATGCTTGAACTTTGATATATGTCAAAATTGTTTTTTCGCCAGTAAGAAATACAAGACTCATAAACCAACTCACCCATTGCACGAATACTCTACACCAGTAATACATCCACTTACTGATTGAAAAAAAATATATTATACTTCCTTTTGATTCGATCATCTGCTAAAGTGAAACCACTTTAATTTCATATTGTATTTATTTTAAAAATAAATTATCGCTGACTAATGCTATTAAACTTTTATATTGTCACTTTTCTCTTCTCCCACTTGAGACAAATAACAATTTTATATATTAAAAAATCTACATTTGAAAGACTACGACAGGAGAAGATGTTTTAGATCTAACTAGGGCTTTGCGGAATAAATTGTTTCGCTCTAGACGCTATTTCGTTACGCATCCTCGCTTGGGCTATACTCCCATAGACTCTTTACAACCTATTCATACGACCAGTACAGGGGGTAATGCATTTTTTATACTAAAAACGAACTCTACATTTTAAAATTAAACCTATTTTGATAAATAAATGAAAATTATAAGTATCTTGATGATATTGTTAAACAAGAGCTTCCGATTGGTTGGGGTTGGAATAAGAAACTCCTATAATTATTTATGGAATTCATATTAGTCTAAAAATATTTCAGTTACTAAAACATTCTCTAATATAACGTGAGCTAAATGTGTAAAAAATTGACAAAACATTTTTAATAATATTTTTATATGGTTAAGCACACGGTAAAGGTGTAAAACGATACCCTCCCGATCAACCTGGAGGCGAGGAAAGCCTGCCTCTCATGAGCTCTCCCCATTCACATAGTGGAATGGATGCCTCATATACCAGCTCGGACCAGGGTGGTCGAACCAAAAATATGATACAGGAAAGTTCGTTTGGGGGAGAAAATGAGGAATATCGAAAAGTGGCCAAGAGGGGTTTTACGAGCAAAATGAATGAGATGGATATCTGCAACTTGAATGACAAGGTCGATGAACATGAGCTAATAGGAAGTATGTGTAAAAGTTTATCGGCTCAGCCTTCCCCTTGTGTTTCGACGGTACACATTTGTTATATATCATATAATATATTAACTTATCATTATTCTTTCGTTTGGTCATTGGAATTTAGAAAGTTAGGAAAGATAAAACATGTGTATATACCATATATTCCTTTTTTTTGATTATGTAAATTTTTGACTTAGCTATATGTGTGATAAAAAAAAATTTCTTATCGCCGAAAATCATTATTATAGATACTAAAAGTGATCATTAGGTAAAACTCTACGAGATTAGGTATTTTTTTACATTATAAATATATATATTATAACTGATAAATTTATTACATTTTTAGCGTTCCATCAATGGTTATGAAGAAGCCCCTGAAAATGTGGCTAATAGAACACATGATTTGCATAAGGAACACAAGTATATCATGTTTCCTACATTAAAATACATTGTCTTATTTGGGCTTTGCAGATCCACATATTATTTACCGATCCATTCATATAAAACCGATCATCTAGCCATATTTAGATTGAATTTTATATACCAGCTTTTATTGAACTTGTAAAAAACCAATATTCTTTCTTAGGCTAAAAAAAACTATAAACAATGCATAAATCTAGCACTTTGAAATTTTTTATTTCTCATGGCCAAGGCGATGTTTGGTTCATTATCACGAATTATTAAATATAAGTTTTTTATGCCCCATAAGTTAATTATCTCATTTAAAATAGACAATTTTATGGCTCGTTCAAAAACAATAATATCCAATCGTGTTGAATATCGACCCAGTTCCAATATTTAATATCTTCACAGAAATACTTATTTTATAATTTTAATATAATCATAAATTTTGTTCAGATTCTTCTAAAGGTTATCGCATAATTTACAATATATTTTTTTACTTTCTTATAAATATTTATTTTTAATCACTACTTTATAGCGATTTAAGAAGAGAGTACGAAAGATTAAGACATAGGCATTACGATCAATATTCTTTGAACGAAGAGGCCAGTGAATCCATATTGCTTAACCATCAATTCGATGATAATATATTGAGCGAGGATAGTTTTGCTGCACCGGTATAATGTGTAATTTTTTAATCTTTTTTGAAATATTATAACTTTAATCCTGTAAATATATTTCATACAAACAAGGCTTTTTTGGGAAATGGTAGCCATTTAAACAATCATGAACACTTACTTGGGAAAAATTGCCAAAACATGAATGGAAACGATACCAATCAGGAGTTTCCCATGATGGATTCATCTTTTAATAACAAGCATCAATCATCTTTTCCCACTCAGATTGGTAAATACAATGATGAACAAATAAATTACTCTTTTCATTAAAAAAAATTAGAAAACAATAAAGATCATCCCTCGTGTTCCTGTTCCAAATCACTTTCTTTCTTTCTTAAAAAAGTAGTTAAATGTGTGCGGAAATATTTGACTTAGATTCTTTGAACTGTATTGATTTTCTTAACTAATCAAACCGGGTTTTTATTGGCTAGTTTTACGCAAGAATACCTTAAGAGAAAATTGAAAAAATCAAAATTAGTCTAATTTATATATTATACGATTATAATTAGCTTATAATGATAAAAAAAATCAATATCAACATTAAAGGTTATCTCGACAAAAGGGAAGTAAACCCAATATTTTCAGTGGCCGATAATCTTAATAAAGCTCTCGGAGATTTGGTATCAGTCATTACATCCTCTCATTCCCACCTCAAATCCCCCGTTAAAACACCTCCAGCTATCTCACCTTGTCGCTAAAATAAACCTTTAAAATGATTTATATATTAAGCTTATTTATTAATTAAATAATTATATATTTTTTTAATGTTATTTAAATTTTAAAATATTTTAAAACTATGTTTATCTAAAAAAGACTTGTATTTGATTAAATTGTGCCATCGCCCTTAATATTGAGAGATTTTATCTTAATGACTTTTATATTTTGCCTAGGATACTATATAAAATTTTCCCAAAATAAAATACTCAATAAAACTATAAGAATTAAAATAAATTACACATTTTGTTTTTCAAAGTATTTATTGCTAATTAGGAATTGAAAGGTGCTTTTGCAGAAATTTCATTGATTAAATTAAATTTTACATTTCATTTTCTATCCTTAATTATATTATACTGCATAGACTACATAAATATAAATATTTCTTAAAAAGTGGCATATTTACATATAATTTTTATAATTATAATTAGTATTTAAACATCGTCTTAAATTTATAAAATAAAATAAAATTTACTTTATATTCTTCAAAATAAAATTTGTTTGTTTTAATAATTAAGGGGGTAATAAAAAAAATATTGTTATTTAAATTTTATATGCTTAGGAAAAAATGTTGAGCCATTTAGAATTTATGGAATATTTTAATTTTAGCTTTGATTACACATTTAGAAAATACATTTATTTCTACAATTAAAAAAATATTATAACTTCTTTTTTTTTAAATCTAATTATGAAGCTATAAGAAATATTTATTTCATAACAATCTAATGTGAACACGAGTAAAATATCCTTATCGTGGCAGTGTTTGATTGGTCACTTTTAGTACTATACTGTATAATAAGAAATTAAATTTATTATCAATAATATATTAATTTTATTTAAATTTTAATTAATAAATGAGAAATGCTGCAAATAAAGAGTATTCATCGCTTCTTCTTAAGTTCTTCAAAGCGCCTGTTAAGGTCGTCAAAATCTATCTCAGGGGTGTCTATTCGATTGTCGATGCTAGTTTTTGAATCCGTTTTGGTATCGTTTTCGATATTTGAGTCGGGTTTCTTTTTATGAGCCGGAGTAGATACAGTAGATGAAGGGACATTGGGTAGGTTTAGGTAATCATAGCTGTTGGGGTTTTTGAGATCTCTTGAAGTTTGAATAAAAATTAATTTAAAATATATTTATGAGATAATTTCGTTTTAGACAAGTTATTTTTTTATTTCAAAATAAATAAAACTGATAAGTTATAAAATAAATATACATTTTTTCATCGTCAAATTCGCTATAGCTAGGAGGCATTTCAATATTATATTCGTTCCGGGGAGCTGAAGGATCTACGTTAGGGTTCAAAGAGGTAGTAGGCATGAGTGTTGGGTAGTTAAATCCGATCACCTTATTTTTCTATATAATATATATTGCAAATTGGTTTAACTTTCAGATAATATTAAATCAATCGGTGGTAAGCATGAGTGTTGGGTAGTTAAATCCGATCACCTTATTTTCTATATAGATTAGTTTTATACCAGAGATGCGCCAATAGCACTTTTTAAAGATACCATCAGATTAATGTGATTTATGACGTTTATCTTGTAATTGGCAGCCTAGGCTAATCCCACCTGCCCCATGATATTTTTCCTTTCGGATAAATATTTAAATGTTTTGCCAACGTGAACTTAAATAATCTTTTATTTAATTCAACAATGTTTATATCATGTTTGATTAATATATGAAATCTAATACAGTATATTTGTGAAACATAAAAGATTATTAGAGTTCCTTTTTAACAAAAACGACTTGTTCAATATTATCAGTACTATTTTACTGATTCTGTAAGGTGTCCGCTTGACAGAGAATCAAAATAAACAAATATATCTTATGATATATGAGAAAGTAATTTAAAAATTAATAAGAAAAATTAGTTAATAATATTCTCAAGATATTATTTGGTATTGGTAATAATTAAAAATATTATCCCAATGTATTGGTGCATCTCTGTTTAATAATATAAGCAGATATAAAAAGTTATAAAAAACATTTAAATCCTTTCATAATAAACTCACCTTCGTGCTTCCAACTTTATCTCCAACAATATCACCGTCTTGTTGATTGTTGAGAAAGTCGAGTAATTGCTTTTCTGTATCATAAATTTCTTCATCTTTCATTACCAATGGGTCGGGAGTGTATGCCACATTGTGACTTTTTCCTATCTCCATCAAATACTTTTCTACCAATATTTTTGGAGGGGCTTGGATAGACATTTTTTGAAATAATTTTTCATTAACACAAAGTATAGAATTCTCGCGGGCCGCTTTTGCGAAATCGAGCCCATATTTTTGGGCTAATATATCTGAGATTATCTTGATTTCTGGCACATCTGCTTGCAAACGAGGAGCCACCCATATTAAAGAGGCTATGGCTTCTTTCAAACCTTCGTCCATAGTACTGAAAACATTTTTTAAAATAGAATTTTTAAATTTAATCATTTTACATACCTATAAGGCTAAGGCCATGCCAGAGCATTCTAGAGAATTATGTTAAAAGAGAGTAAGTCAAAAATCGAGCTTTTCAAAATATATTTTACATAAATTTAGTTATTTCGAGTGTTTGTCCGTCAATTTTTTTTATCATAACTGCTATCTTTTGTACTAATTTTGACTAATTTCGATATTTTTAAGGTAATAGTTTTAATTTTTTATAAAAACTACGGTTCAATTTCTTAAAAACTTTGATAGGACCACAGTTATAATTTGGTTTGATTGATAGCTATTTATAAATAAAATTAGAAGGAGAATAAGAATCATTTTCATAAATTACAAACAATAAGTATATGCATTGCGGTAGTTTATTTTATGAATATTAACATCTTTAACTATATTCAATTTGATATTTTTATTATAAATAGTTTTCTATAAGCATTTAAAAATTTTACAAGTCACTATTTTTTGCACTTTTGTGGCCCTTATCTCGGCAGTGTGCTAGCGAGCTAAAATAAATGACTTTCTCACATTTTTATCTATCTAAACGATTAAGAAATTTTTCATATTTTTAAAAGTGCTAATTTGAAAATGTGTTATTTTGATCGATTTGACATGATATGCCCTATTATCTTCATAGTGATTATGTCACTGTTTGTATGGCTGTGTTAAAAATCCCTACATGTGATTAGTAATCACATATTTAAAAAAACTATATATGGCTAAAAAATTATGTTTCTATCCAATCATCCTATCCAAAGAAGATATAAACAAAGGATCCTGTTGTAAAGATTTAAGATGCTTTAGATAATTGCTGAAAAAAGCAATACACTACAAAATAAAATATTCCCATGAATGGTAAATTGCCTAATAGACCTATAATAGTCACATTTGTTTATTAATTCATTATCAATTTCAGAACAAAAATATCAACTCCTACCAAAAATGAAAAAGGTGTTACCTATCTATTCTTGTATGTTTATGATAATCTTATTTATAATATTATATAAAATATTACAGAATATATTGTAAATTAAATATTATACAAATTTGATTTGTAAATGATAAAAATATAATTATAATAATTATTTATATCTAGTAACATTATTATTATTAACAATTTTAGTTAGATATCAACTAGGTAAAAATAATTTTTATAAAAAATTTATCAATCAAAACCTCATAACTAAAAAAAACATATCTTAAAACAAAAACTTGCAAGTGGTAAATTACATTTTTTTTAATAAAGGAGTAAAATTAAAAATTAAAATTCATTAATAAGGTTATATTTTATAATAAGTTATTTTGTCTCTGGACAATTTCAGAAATATTTTTATGAGGTCTTGCAGTAATGATAATAAGCACGTTCTGTTCATTTAAACAAAAATATTTCAAATCCAGTACTACCTATTAGTGATCTGCATTGGGCTTAATTTTTCAAGCCCAGTCCGGCCCAAAATTTTTTTAAAAAAAGTTTTGCCGGTCCGGCCCAAACCTGAAATTTTTTTTAAGTTTACCCAGCCCAGCCCGAAATTTATTTTAAAAAAATTTACCTGCCAGGCCCGAATTTATCTAAATACAGAAATTAATTTTTATAATTACTTATAAAAGACATATGTTATATAGCGTTTTTCAATAAATTAAACAAAAATTTTTATTTTACATAAAAATTCAATATAAAATTGATAAATTTAGATATATTTAATAAAAATTTCCAAGGTCCGACCCGGCCCGAATTTTTTTTAAAAATATTAGGCCTGAACCCGATTATTTTAAATAGAATTAGGATACGGGTTGGGCCTAACTTTGCAGATCTCTACTACCTATTGTTTTAAAAATATTTTTAACCTGCTGCCCCTCCCCAACAACTACCCAAAATGTGAGATAGAATGGGTGGGCTAAAAACCAACCTATGCAGACTACTACTATATATTCATCATTTGAAATCAATATATTGCAAAAATATCTAATCAACAAAAATATTTACATTATAATTACCATCTTCCTTATATCAAATTATAAAATATTAATAAACTCATTTCTGCTTATAGCTTATATCACTTTTTAATGTTTTAATGACTTTTATAGATAATATATGAATAAAATGTGAAGCACTAAGGTTACTAAAATATAAATTTGTGGGAAGACATTTCATTAATTTGAAAGCATTAAGACAGGTAGAAATTAGATGTATTTTTAAAAAAATAAATTTTATATGTATTTAATATAATTTTTCTAATGATGTTCCAATAATTATACCTAAAAGTTCAATATCAACTGTTGGCTTTTTATCCTTATCAAATTTAATTTTTTCTTAGTGTTATGAAGATAATTTATAACTGTAAATAGTTATAACATAATCCTTATTTTTTCCTAAATAATATGCCAAACCCTATAAATAAACTTAGTATTTGAAATTTACATAAATCATTTCCCATTATTTTCAATTTAAATTTCAAAAATATGGCAACCCTAACTATATAATAAATATTTAAAAAAATAATATGCAAGAACATGGTCCAAATTGTTTTAATTTTGTAAAAAATGTAATTTTTATAATTCATCTGTTCTTACATTAACACCATCGTAATAATTACCTCATTTGCTGAATCAAGCCAAATCTTGCCAGTATCAAATCACAAAGCATTTCAATGATTTCCATAGCTTCCACGAGATAATCTTCTCTAATAATATGTTCCACACGAATTTTAGCTCTATCTACTTTATTAATATTCATGTAATCGGCAATTTCACGTCGAGCTTTAAGGGCAGTTTCAGTTTTTTTCTTTTCTAATAGTTTCAAACGGTTTATAGCTAATCTAAGATTAGTTTTTAGTTTATTATAATTAGGGTTGTTGAATGGCATTTTATTCAAAGAAATTTTGTGGATTCCTCTCAAACAGTTTAAAATGTTTTAGATAATGAAAATGCTTTATATGGAAATCAAAGTGCGACAAAATGAAAATAATTTTTCCTTTTATATTGCTAAAATAAAATAATATCGTAAAATATGAAAATTGGTAATTGTACTAAAATTTACTTCTGATTCGGAACATCAACATAAAAAAATCGTAAATTAAACAGAATTTGAATGAATAACTGTTATATTAAATTGCCAAATGGTATAAATATAAGAAATTATTAAACGTTCACTTTTAAATCGGTTATGAACATTAAGAAATAAAAGCAATTTTCTCATTATTAGTAAACATTTGCGCAGATATTCAAGAATCTCACTTAATTTTATTTCTTCTAATAATTTCCATTCTACCAACATCATTAAAAAGGGATCTAAATAACCCTGCCCAATATTTGCTCGCAGTCTATTTTTAATTATTTTTAATTTCTAAAGGTTCGTCCACAATTTACTTGTGAAAAAATAAGGTGAGTAGATAATGCATATACTATATATAAATTGTTATATGCAGATGTATGCATATTATATAGACATAACGTCTCATACACACATATCAAACTTTGCCATTTTATATTGCATTTGGTTAAAAAATTTCCATTGCAACTTTCTTTAAAAGAATTTGGAAATTCTTCACTTTCACTGCCTAACGTGTAATTAGTGAATTCAAAAATGAAATTGCCAAACACAAATGAATTCTATACACAAACAAATAAATCTCTAGAAAAGCAAATTAGTCCTGGTTGCAGATCCAAACAAACCAAATTAAATTTTTATAATTTTAACATGCCATCAATATCGCAAAAAACAGCTGACAAAGTTATAATGGACTTTATTATTGACACCTTTCAGCCACTTTCACTGGTTAATGATCCTTCATTTCAGAAAATGATTAAAAAATTTTCTCCAACGACAAATATATGTCGTCAAACTCTGGGCAACAAAATATCTACTGCCTTTATAGATATGACAACAAATCTTATAAGAGATTTGTCTTAAGTCTCGTATGTATGCACCACTGCTGATTGTTGGAGTGGTCATCGAAGGTATATTATATTTATATAAATTTTATAATATTTTATTTTAGGGCTTTTATTGGAGTTACTGTCCATTGGCTGGACCCATTAACCATCAAGAGAAGATCAGCAGATTTAGCACTGAGTCGTATAATTGGAAAGCAAACATATGGTGCTTTGGCTAAGGAGATTATGGATATCCACAAGACTTAAAAAATTCATAATAAGGTGGTGAATATGGTGACCGATAATGGAACCAACTCTGTAAAGGCATTCAAGTAATATTTATATTTAACAAAAAAAAATATCTAATTAAATTTTTTATTTTTTTTAGAGTTTTTGGAGAAAATGAAGAAGATAGTGAGGATGGAATTAATAAATTTGGATGATATATTATCTGTTGATGACTCAAATAACCCTACTATCAGCCTTCCAAAACATCAACGTTGTTGTTGCCATAATCTTAACCTTATTGCAACCAAAGATGCTGAGAAGACAGAAAATGATATTAATTATAAGCGAATATCAAGAGCAATATTTGCTAAATGTTATGCTTTAATTAACAAACAAAATATGTCCCCAAAAATGGCTGATATTCTATTGCAGAAATTGGAAAGATATCTAATAGCTCCCACAAGACCAGATGGAACTCTTATTTTCACTCAATGAAATTAATGGACAAGATGCTCTCTGAAAAGTTTTCAGAAGTAGAAGATGTTTGTGATCAAATAGGATTCACAATTTTTAGGCAAGAGGAATGTTTCCTTGTAAGAATATGCATCAGTAATACAATGATATTTTTATAATAACTAAAATTTAAATATTAAAGGTTATGGAACCTTGGCTACATCATTAAAGATCTTGGAACGAGAAGATAACATGGAGCAGGGATATCTAACCCCAGTTCTAACCATACTTATAGATAAATTAAAGATATTTAACTGCCTGCGATATTGTCAGCCCCTTGATAATCTATCTTATATTAAAAATATGTATATAAGATTAAATACGCTCTTACCCTCAAGTGCTAGTGTCGAGAGATTATTTAATAAGGCAAAACTTATACTTTCTGATCGTCACTCTAGACTTGGGGATGATAATATTGAAATGATTTTATTATTAAGATGCAACAAATTAGCATAAATATTTATTTTTATTACATAAATTTTTTTATAATCAAAACTAACTATATTTTAATATTTATAAATGTTGATTTTTATATATTTACTATACAATAACATTATAAGCAAAAAATAAAAAATTTGTTTGTAAATTTTTTTTATAAAAAGTAGCTAAAGCTACTTTTAAGAAATAGTAGCTAATAGCGAGCTACTTTTTTTGACAAATAGCGATAGCGGTAGCGCGCTACTTTTAAAAGTAGCGTTTAACAACTCTGCATTATGCAAATTATTTATATATTTTTTAAGATATTTTTTTTTATTGACATATAAATTTAGGATAATTTTTTTAAAAAATAATGAGGATTAATTATTATGTATTTGATAAAATTAAGAGCAAATCCTTGTTGACATTTTAATTTTTGATGAAAAAAGCGACAAAATAAATCTGGGCGGTCGTCTGGAGTGGAAATAATTAATGTATAATTTTATATCATTTAGGGTTGTAGATGAAAGCAGTGGCGTAGCTAGGAATTTTCCTTAGAGGGGGTCCATACATATATAAGACTGGTAGCTTCGCCCCCCAGACCCCCTTTAACGGGCCTTCGGCCCTTTTGCCCGGCCTTCGGTCGGGTTTATCTTAAAAATCATAACAATATCTTCGATATTATATAATAAATATAGTTAATGCATCAATAATATATTATTATAATTTAGTAGATTATCTCAATGATTTTATAATAATACTATCCAGAATAATTTCAATAGTAATATATTATCCTTCCACGAACATCAAAACTAGAAAAATATAAATATTCATGGTATTTATTTGATATAAAGTAACTTTTAAGTCTTTTGAACGTATAATCTAAAAAAAAAATTTTGCTCTGGGAGGGGTCCAAACCCTAAAACCACCCCCGTAGCTACGCCACTGGATGAAAGAAATGACGGATTAACAAAGCAGTGTACAAAACACATTACATCCTGATAAAGATGATATGCCTTGGGATACTAATAAAAGAAGAACGCAAAACGATATTTCTGTCAATGTCAGCATTGGTATCCCCCTCTAAAATAGAATCATGAACGACAATGTTAACTCAACCATAAAACGGTCATAAGCATTGTTATAAAGGCCACGACAGAACCACTGCATATTTTCCCATTAATAAAGTTGATGAAATTGGCCGTACTGTACATTCAAGTCTGAACATTCCTCTAAATATTCATGAAAGTTTTTCAGAGAATCGGATAATATTAACTCTTAGTGAAGTGAATGATAGTACGGAATTAAATGCTTATATTTGTTAAAAAATAGGCGGAGGTGGCATATGGATTGTTGTAGTGATGATAGAAATATCAATTGGAGAACTGGGTAAAAATAAAATAAACATAGATATAAAACATAAGATATAAAAAACAAAATAAACCTTCAGATGAGTTCATTTCAAGCGTAGTTCTCTATTATTTATCTACCAGTAGCTCTAGAACAGGTAAGGCGTTTGTTTAATCGTCATTATTTTCTTTGCTTATCTTTAATAATAGATTCATCATGTTTTGTAGCAATGCGTCACGATAACGTAGTGAGGACACCCAAAAATTATAGTATAGATGATTGGTCAGGCCTGACTGTGAAATTTGAAAGGGCTAACTTTTGCAGATACTTGATTAATATGAATGAACACTTATTTAATACTTATTTAATAATAAATTAATTATCTATTAATATAGATTTCCTTCACTATATGATGACAATAATATATTGGCATCAATAATTCACCCAAAATTTAAGCTAAATTGGCTTTATATTAATCTGCAACAAAATCTGATGCTAAAAGAATGGTTAATTGCTCATTTAGAAAATATACAGGGTCAACCACGTGCAGATGCTTCAAATGATATAAATTTAAATATATTATCAATAAAATAGAAAGAATAGGAACATAAATAAATGCTAATTTAAAATTGATTTATATATTATCTATAAAGTATTCCTTTTTTTATACCGAAGAAAGAAAAGAATGGGAAATTATTTTATAAAATATTCTTTATTAATATAGTATATACATATCTTAAATTATTAATTAAAAAAATAAATATTATTCTTGTATTTACAAGTGTTTTAAACGGCTCGTTTTAAGCCGATTTTTAAGAACGGCTAACTCAATATTTTGGCCAGAAAAATATTGCCTAAGCCTCGAGATTTCGATAATATATGTTATGAGAAAATCTCGCGTAATATATTTCTGGATGAAGCATCGAGTTAGCCGTTTTTAAAAATCGGCTCAAAACGAACCGTTTAACAACACTAGTATTGTATTTAACTTATTTTATCATTGCATATATTTTTAAATATGTTTAAAGAGCAATGTTTTTATGAATTAGCGAAAAATATTATATGTATTTATTTTTATTTTTTGATAAACTAGTAGAAAGCCCGTCAAAAATGACGGGGAATGAGATTTTTATTCATTTTTTACTATAGATGTCATGCCAGATCTAAGCTCTCAATATTAGGAAGCATATAATTATTAAAAAGTTTATCCAGCCCAACTCAACCCTTAATGATTTGTTTAATATAATATCATGTCAGGTGCAAGCTAATATAAATTTTGAGATTCCAAGCCCAGTCGTTTCCATAATTATGAAAATTTTTTCCCACCTAGAAGATAGTTAAATCTTTAATTGATTTATCATCACATGAAGAAGAATTATATGATTTACCAATAAGTTTAAGACGTAAAAAAAAACATGTGAATTCCGTATTAAGGGAAACTGGGAAGGCCTGGGCAAACCACTTATTAGATAATCATGATAAATAAAATAAAAATAACCGACTCTTATACTTTTGTAATATGATCAATTATAATTATATATAAAAAATAAATTGTTGTTTATTATATAGGGTTATTGTAGCTTTTCGGATAAATTTAATGTGTCTTGCATTTCCCAAATTATTTGTCTATATTTTATGTTAAGTAAAAAAAATGCTATCTATTTAAATAACAAAAATGCCATTAAAAACTAATAAAATTTATATGCAAATTAAAGAATAATTTTAAAAAATAAATGCATTGAACCTGATGAGGAGTCAATATACCACCTGTACAATCATTAAGTGAGGTTAAGACAGGGCTTGTTATCTAAAATAAAAACAAAGAATAATATAAAAAATATAAATGCAATGAGCCTGAAAAGGAGTCAATATTAGGTTCAACTCCCTATAAATAGTGGGGACATCATCAGAAGGTAAAATAGATGTATTCTATAATATAAAAGCGTATAAAAAATATACATATAAGGCTAACTTTATTTTGCGTTGTTAGTAAATTTTGTAGGGCCTCACTATCCCTGGAGCGTTTCTTTTTTTGATTGACCTGCCATCTTTTTCTTTTATTAATGACGGATAAATCACCACCTAATTTATAAAAATAAATGCATTAAACCTGATGAGGAGTCAATATACCCCCTGTACAATCATTAAGTGAGGTTAAGACAGGACTTGTTATTTAAAATAAAAACAAAGAATAATATAAAAAATATAAATGCAATGAACCTGAAGAGGAGTCAATATTATATTCAACTCCCTAGAAATAGTGGGAACATCATCAGAAGCTAAAATAGATGTATTCTATAATATAAAAGAGTATAAAAAAACATGTATGCATTTTTAATATATATATATATAAGACTGCATTGTTAGTAGATTTTGTAGGGCCTCACGATCCCTCAAGCGTTTCTTTTTTTTGATTGGCCTGCCATCTTTTTCTTTTATTAATGACGGATAAATCACCACCTGTACAATCATTAAGTGAGGTTAGGACATGGCTTATAATCTAAAATAAAAACAAAAGAATAATTAAAAAACATATTAATGTATTAAACCTGAAGAGGAGTCAATATTAGGTTAACCTCTCTAAAAAAGTGGGAATATCATCCATCAGAAGCTAAAATAGATGTATTCTAAAGTGAAAAGTATAAGCATTTTTAGTATATATAGATGAATAACTTTATTTTGCATTTAGTAGATTTTATTGGGCTTCACGTCATATGACCCAGTATAATTTTTTTTCTTGAATATGAGTTGAATTAAGAATTGAATGCTATTTATTTCGGCTGGAGTGTGTAGCCTGAAATAGGGAAATAAGAGAAAATTAAATGGAAAGAAAATAGGGAAATTAAAAGGGAAAGGAAGGTAAAGATAAAGAAAATTAAAAAATGAAGATAGGAAAGGGAAATGATGAGAAAGGGGAAGATAATAAAAGAAATTAAAAGAGAAAGAAAGGAAAAGAGAATTTTAGTATTTTTTAAATTTTGATTTTTCCCATATTATTTGAGACTGTTGATAAAATAATGAATGTTAGTGATATCTTTAGTAGGGAAACATATATTATCGGCATAGCATAATCAGTCTACATTTTGTGTGTTACTGAAAAAAAACTATTCTTTGAGTTAAAATATATATTTTATAAAAATATTTACATGACTAACATTTAACATTAAAAAATCTCAATCTAGGTTCAAGCCTACAATATCTGGAAAAAATATCCAAGCATCCAAGATCTTAATAATTTAAAAAGATTTTCTCAAGCCCACCTCAATCCCTAATAATTTTGAAACCAAGCCCAGAAATATTAAATTTATAATTAATGAAGGGGAAATCTCTGATTTACCAATTAGTCTACGGGTAAAATATATTACTTTATAAAAAATAATAGCATAAGACTAACATTTCACATTAAAAAATCCCAATATAGGTTCAAGCCTACAATATTTGGGAAAAATTTCCAAGCATCCAAGATCTTAATAATTTTAAAAGATTTTCTCAAGCCCATTTCAATCCTAATAATTTTTGAAAACCAAGCCAATATTAATTTTGAGATATATTTTTTAAGCACAGTCCAACCCATAATAATTTTGAAAAAATTTTCCCAAGCCTAGAGATATTAAATTTATTGAATTAACTCAGTTATGAATTTCTTTATAAAATAATAATAATTTGTAATATTTAGTAAATAAATAATGTAATACTTTGACAAGTGGTTTTAATAAGCCTCCTACAGTTGCACTAATTTTGAAAAAATTCATGTGAATTGGTAATAAGGGAAACTGAGAAAGCCTGAACATAGCACTTATTAGAGAATCATGACAAAATAAGATTTGCATAGAAAATTTAAGTTATAGGATCATCTGTTTGTATAAAATAAATAAATAAAATCAGCAATAGTAAATAATGTATTACTTTTTGGTTTTAATATGGCCTCCTACAGTTGCATAGAAATTTAAGTTATAGGATCATCTGTTTGTATAAAATAAATATATAAAATCAACAATAGTAAATAATGTATTACTTTTTGGTTTTATATGGACTCCTACAGTTGCACAGAAAATTTAAGTTATAGGATCATCTGTTTGTATAAAATAAATAAAATCAACAAATAAAAAATAAATACATACCGATGACATGACGTCACGATCGGAAAATTATAATATAGATTATTAAAAAATAATAATATTAATACCTTTTTTTTATATAAATATAAATAAATACATAGCGATGACATGACGCCACGATAAGGTAGTGAGGAAGACATCGGAAAATTATAAAAAATAATAATATTTATACCTTTTTTTTAAATATAAATAAATAAATAAATACATACCGATGATTGATATGACGTAACGAATGACGTAGCGAGGACATCAAAATTATAATATAGATTATTTAAAAATTTTTTAAATTTAAAATAAATTTTAATATAGTAAAAAAACGCTATTATTAAATCGTGATAAATCAAGAAATATGAGATTAATGTAAATATTATTTATAGGTCACATACTGTGTATAAGAAAATTTTTTAGGTTGAAAATTAATGAAAATTGACGAATAATGGAAATTTGACCAACGATAACAATCAAGCTCAGCAATCGACTAACAACGATCAATTAAGAAACTATGACAAGCAATAAGATTATACACGATTTGTGAAACTAAAAAAAAAGAGAGAAATGTTAAATATTATTATTATTATAAGTTAATTTTATTTTTTAATTATGTAAAATATTTCATCGTTTTATATTATTAAAAAAATATGCAAAAACATTTTATTTTTATTATTACATGCACTAAAAATTTGATCATCATATGAAAATATTTGTCTTATTTTACTAAAATATTATATTTTTTTATGTTTATCTAATATATATTTTATTTAAGTTATATATTTTTTTAATATTTTTATATATTTGTAAATATACTTGGTTATATAAGGAGATAAAACTTTTATGTTTGGAAGTATTATTATTTTGAAGTATAAATTGTTTATAAATCCAGTGGTACGAAGGCTAGATTTTATAATAATATAATAGAAAGAATAAACTAAATGCAATTTTATTACATTGCAGTATAATTCTCATCACTTCACGGTTGCCATTTATTATTCGATGTGATGGAGGGTATATAGAAAATAAATTTTTATGCCTTAAAATTTTATTTAGATATAATATTCCAACTTAGAGTATGGTCGAATTTATTTGAATCTTACCCAATTATTTTTTTGAAAGTTTACGGTAAAACAACTTGATAGGTTATCTAAAAAGGCAGATAAAGATGAAAAATTGGAAACAGCAAAAATTAAAAAAGTTATTTTATCTTAATCAAATAATTATATTTGAAATAAAAAATTTAAACAGTTGAGTATTTTATTAAATAGGACCACATATGGTTTTTATTTAGAATTTAATAATATAATTTGTTTAAACTCAATAAAATCATATTTTTTTATATTACATATAAATTATAATAGGCACTTCAAAGTCAAAACATTGATGGTGCCAAAATTTATGCAGAAAATGCTATTAGAAAACGAAATGAATCCTTGAATTTTTTGAAATTGTCTTCAAAGGTTGATGCTGTTACATCCAAAATAAAAACTGCCGAAACAATTAAACATGTTTATTATCATTCAATTATTTTATTTATTAACGTTTGGTTTCAGCCCTCTTTTTTCACTTATTTTAACTAATCTGATATCGACTAAAGTTGATATTTGTATTTATCTAGAATTTAATTAAATTTTACCCATATTTCCTGATGAGGTTTGTTATGCTTTTTAAAGAGTAGAGCACTATAACAACCATTTTCTCCCAAAAGTAGTTTCATTGCTACTTTTTTAAAAAAATATCACACATATATATAGCATTGCTCAGATTTCTCAAATTAAAAATGTAAAATAAATTATTTAAAGTTAGAAAATAGTACAATTATTTTTTAAAAACATTTTTGAAATGTTTCCTGATTTAACACATTTCTGATATCATACACACAGAATTGAGCAATAATGTAAATACTTGTCCTTTAAATTCTAAATACCATTGCTTTTTTTGTATTTAGTAGTCATTTGAATTAGTGATCTGCATTGGGCCTAATTTTTAGGCCCAGCCCAGAATTTTTTTTAAAAAAATTTGACTGGCCCAATCTTGAACAAAATTTTTTTTATTTGGCCCAAAAAGCCCTACCCAAATCCAAAATAAAAATTATTCGTCCCTGGGTCGAATTTATTTAAATATAGAAAAATTTAATCTTTTTTTGTAAAAAAAATATTCTACAAATAAAAAATATTATTATTTTATTTCTTGCAAGAATTTTAAAATATATCAATTTATTTGACAAAAACCCTGACCTGGCCCAAAATTTTTTAAAAAATATTAGGCTCAACCCAGCCTGAACCGAAAATATTTTTGATTTGACCCGACAATTTGCAGATCTCTAATTTAAATATCTTAAAGTGTATTTATTATTTATATTTTAAATTTCAGACACATATAATTTTTATTATAAATTGACTTGGAATATAAACCTACAATTTATTTATTTAATAACCCAAGTTAGCAAAAAAATTAACATTTAATCCCATTTTATTTTTAAAATGTGTATTTACAAAAGTCAAACCGAAGATTTTATTATTTTTGAAGAAAATAATGAAATTTTATTTTATGATCACCTGCTCTGGTAGAAAGATTAATCAGTTTCACAAATTTAAATTCATTTTATGCAATTTTTTTATATTTTATTCTGCAATATAATGCATTTAATTATTCAATACACAGCTCTATATTAAATATGGGCCTATCATTACATCTATAAAAAGGTATAATCTAACATAGGAATAAAATTATAAATAAAAATTGTTTAATCCATTGTATAAACATGTATAGATATTTTTTTAGTTTATATGTTTATGATGCTATGCATATAATAATAATGAATAACTATTTTGTCAAGATGGAAGTATTGTTTATCATGATTGAAATATGTCATAGGATGTCTTTTGATTATTAAGTTTGTAAAACAATGTCAGAAGTGGTTGTTAAATTATTTAATTATTATAATCACTTTAAAATATCAGAAGTATCTAGACAGATTTTTTATTAAGTATCTGTTTCTAGATCTTATTTTAGAGGTATGTATCTGTTTTTAGTTACTCTTTAAGATACATTTTGATATACTTTCATTTAATGCTTTATTATATTATAAATCAAAATTCTTGAATGCAAAATTTATTTTATTTCATATGAGCATATAATAAATAAATATATATTAAAAATTATTAAGACTATTATAATAAAAAATTATATATATAAAATATTAAACCTTATATATAAATATTCATTAAATATTTTATCTGAGTTTATCAATAAACCGAACAAATTTTGATATTACTTCATCTTAAGGAATCTGCCATTTTACTTTCAATGGAATTAGTTAATATTATTTTATTATACTAATTTTAAAAATTTATTTTAGATTAATATTAATAGTGATGAAGAGGAAGAAGTAATAATCAATGAAGCATCAACAAGTTCAGATATTGTTATCATGGCCAATTTATAGAGCATATTTTAAAATAATATCTCAAAATAAAGAAAATAAATCTTTGATAGTAAAATGTTTGCCATGTCTACCAAAAAATACGAAAATTATAGTTAGCATTACCTTAACTTACAACATTGTAAACCATTTAAGGGTATAGATACTAAATAAATGTTTACAATTGTAATTTTAAATTCTAAGAGAAACATCAAACATTGTTAGTGAAAATAAAAAAAGGGGGAAGGAGAATAAATATATTAAAGTAAATATTGAACTACGCTCATCATCTACTGATATTTTTGCTAATAGACCTCAGACTTGAACCCAAACCACTTTAGATGATTTAATAACTGCATTTATGATAGCTAGCATTCAGCCATTTTTAATGGTTGAAAATCTTCATTTATAATAATGATCAAAACATTAGCTCCACAAAAAAAATATAATTGATGGGAAAATGAAAACAAAGAAATCATAAAAAGTCTAATAGAATCATTGCTAATATGCAAAACAGCAGATTGTTGGAGTGTCTATTGCTGGTATAGGTAACATTTAAATTTGTATATTAAGAAAAAATTATTTAATCAGTTTTAAGAAATGTTAATTTTTAGTTCATACTATATAAATCTAACAAGTTTGGAAAGAAATGGTAGTCATACATAGGCCTATTCAAAAATAATTCGATTCGAATCTAATCGAATATTTACGAATACGAATAATAAATTATTTGTTTTATCTGAGTACGAATAATCATTTATTCGATTCGAATAAAACGAATTATTCGTAATATTTAATAAATTGTTTAATAAATCTAACATTTGTCATTTCTATTTGTTGACCTGCCAATCGGACAGGTGATGTGTTTGTGTTTATAAAAATTCTAGCACAAATTTAAAAATTTCTGAAGTGAAAATTTAAATTTTTATTTGCCACATTTTTTGAATCTCATAATAAATTATATTAAAAATTACACAAACCAAAGGTACATAAAAATATATTACATTTCTACAATAATATTGTTAGCTAGCCTAATTATGTTAGAGGAGAATGCTTCTGATGAAATTATGCTTGATGTTGAAGATGAGAAAATTTCCTCACAAAAGAGAGCGATCATATGGGATCAATATCAAATCCTTAAAGATAGTGAAAAGGCTGCTTGCAATCATTGCAAGAGTATTATAAAATGTAAAGGCAAAACAACATTTCCTCTTATTAATCATTATAATAGGTTTCATTCACACCTTAGTAAAAAAAATAATAAAATTGACATTTTTTTAAAGTCTACACCAAATTCTTCAAAAAAAAATTAATTTTAAGGATAATTTATTAAAATTATTTATAAATCATAATATTCCTTTTAAAATGATTAATTCTAATGATTTTAAAAATTTTATAAGAATCTTGATTGTTCTGTAAAATCAATATGCTCCAATACTCTTAAATTGCACATGTATAATACATTTGCAGAAAAAGAACAATTGGTAAAGGAAATAATATCTAAAAATAAAAGTCAGATTAATTTTTCATCTGACATTTGGACTAGCCCAACACAGGTTCCTTTTTTAGGGCTAAAAGCCCATTTTATTGATGATAATTTTAAAATAAATAACATAATTTTGGATGTCAGTCAAATAAATGAAACACATTCAGGTGAAAATATATATAAAGCCTTTGTCAAAATAATTAAAAATTATAATTTAGAGAATAAAATTTTTTATATAACTTTAGATAATGCAACTAATAATAAAACATTTATTGATACATTTTCTTTAAAATATCCCTTAATAAAAATAGGGCACATCCGATGCTTTGCCCATGTAATTAATTTAATATCCAAAGAAATTTTAAAAATTTTAGACCCTTCAATTCTAAAACTAAGAAACATTATTAGAATGATTCGTAATTCCCCTCAAAAATTAAATTTATTAAAAAATATATGTAGTTCCCTACATCCTCCCCTAAATTTTTTAAAACCAAAATTGGATTGTGAAATAAGGTGGAATAGCACCTATCAAATGATTGAAAGGGGCTTATTGTTAAAGCCTGCTATAACAAAATTAGTTAATGAAGTAATAACTAACATTAAAATTCTTCAAGAAAAACAAATATCAGAGGTAAACTAAAATTTATAATTAGGTAATAATATAATACTTTGATAACATATAGGAAGAATGGGAGGATCTTATAAAAATTAAAGCTATACTATTGCCTTTATATGAAACTACAAATATGGTATGTGGGGAGAATTATCCTACTTATAATTTGGTTATACCTTATTATATTTTAATTCTTGAACATCTAAAAAATGAAAAATCTGGTTTCCATAAATCCTTTAACAATAGTTTCAAAGTAGCATGTGATAAATTGTTGGGCTATTATAATTTAACTGCCGATGATGCAATAATAACCACAATATTAGATCCCAGGCTTAAAGTAGAATATTTTAAATCAATATCTGTTGATTATGATATTGATATATCCAAGTTAATGGACAAATTTAAAGAGATTTACAATAGATATACAGGTATTTAATTTACCCCCATTTAAATATGATTTTATTTTATAAGCTCATAATTATAACTGTCAAACAAATAAGGATAAGATTCAACAAAACAGGCTAGACATTGTTTTTAAACAAAATAATATTCAACTGTGTGAAATAGATTTTTATCTGAGTGAACCAAGAGCAAAGAGTGATACTGACCCGCTAATGTGGTGGAAGGCAAATGCATATCGGATCCCCATACTCTCGAAAATGGCAAGGGATTATCTATCTATACAAGGAACATCAACTGCTTGTGAAAGGCTTTTCTCAGTTGGAACTAATTTATTGTCAAAAAACCGCATGTCATATAAGGAAGAAAATATAAGAAAAACTCTTTGCCTTAAAAATTGGCTTAAATTAAATTAATAATATATATTTTAATTTTGATTATTTATTATCAGATTATTGATTACATATTATAATTTTTTCTGTTTAAAATCAAATTTGTAATAAAAAAATTTGTCAATATATTTGAGTATGATTTATTTTATTAAAAAAATTAATTTGAATCGAATACAAATAGTAGATTTTATTATTCGTACGAATTCAAATAACGAATCAATATGAATAATGCACTATTCGATTCGAATTCTTTTTTGAATAGGCCTAGTCATACATATGTTCAAAGAATTTATAAGATATAGCAAAGGATTATTGCATTCAAAATAAAATCTCAAAGACCATTACTGGCAATTTCAAAAATTTTTACAAAGTTTTTAGGTTTATTTTATTATAAATATAAACATAATATATGATTAGGATTACTTATTTATAGAATTTTCAAGACAATTGAAAATACTAGTGAATTCATGGATGATCTGGAAGTTGAAAAAGCAGTTGTAATATCAATATAAAGTCTTTTTACTATTGCTCAGGATTTGAAATATCAGAATCATATAGTTTACATAATCATCAATGTTGTGCCAGTCACACATTGAATCTTGTTGCCACTGTGGATGCAAATTATATGATTATTAATAATGATTTAAATTTTGATACTCAACAAATTTTAAATAATTTTTTCAAAAATAAATGCTCAGATTTTAGTATTTTTAAAGAATATCCTGATATAAAATTGTTATTCATAAAATATAACCTTCAAGTGACCCAGTAGATAGACTTTTTAGTGTAGTTAAAAATGTCTTTACAGATAAACGAGGATGCCTTAATTACCAAAATTTTGAAAATATTTTATTACTGAAATCTAATCATTATTTTAGTTATATTTTGATAAATGTGATATTGAATCAATATATTTTTTAACTCATTTCATGAATTTTCACAATAGAATCCTAATTTATGTTTATGCAAACCTTATATAAGAGTATAATAAAAATTATATCTATATCTAGATAACTTTTTAGACGATGTATCTATATCTGGATAACTTATTAGATGATGTATCTGTTTCTAGATTCATTTAAAAGTATCTTTTAACAACTCTGAAAAATATTAATAAAGCAAGAAAGTCAGTCTTTCATTTTAACTGATTCCAACAAATGATATTAATTAAAATTGATATTTGCATTTATATATAATCTTTAATTATATTTTACTCATATCTTCAAATGCTCTTTGAAGTAGTTTCATTACTACATTCTCACATTTATTAATTTACATATGGTCTGCTTATAGATTTTTCAAATTTAAAAACACTAAATAAATTATTTAAAGTTATAAAATATCGAAATAATATATTCAGGACATTTTTAAAATATGAAAATTTATTTTGCTAAAAATGTATTTCATTATGTGTAAAATAACTATTCTATTGATTTCAGGCTATTTGGGCATGCACTTTTAATTTATAAAATAAAATTACATTGATTGACTGAAATATTACCTGAGTGCACATTGCCAGTAACATACATTATGTATTTAAAACTTTGATCAGTTTCAAAATATAATATAATTATAAATAAAATGTTTGTTATTAATTATTTTTTTATAATCAATATGATCTAAAGAACATTTTTATTTATTGGTCTTACCATTGCAAATATCTATATTAAATCAACTTTTAATCCATATCAGATTGAAATCAGTGAAAAAAGATACATTAGTGCTCTTCTCACTACTGTGTTGTGATGATTTAATGACACATATTGAGGATTAAATTTAAACCCATTCATGTATAATTATACTATTTCTTTTGTTGTACATTTGTAAAGATTATAATTATTGCATGTGTTTAAATTAAGTCGTTAATATGTTAAATTAAATACTCATAACACTGTAAATCAGTAATCCTTAGCTGGAACACATACAATAATAACTAACTACTTCAATTTCAGACTTTAGTGTTTTAAAAGGTTACTCATTAATTTCAAGAGCCCCCTAAAAATTATGGTTCATTTTTTGTAAATTTTAAGTAGAATTGCTTCATCTTTTGCGAATGCCTGCAAATTATAAACATAAATGATCCAAGTTGAGAAAACTAGTTACGCCACTAACATAAGAGATTAGCATATCAAATTAATTAAAATTTAATTAACCCCTCCTTAGCTAAACAGGATTTTTTATTACCCCACACTCTTTAAAGTTGCAATGAAAATAATACTATTTAATATTTTGATCCATTATTTTTAATGGTTTAATAATTTTGTTTGAACAATATTTGATATTTTTGATAAGTTCCTTTTTTGTGATATCACCTAAATATTGATAATTTTTGGTCAAATATTTGAAATACTCGGATTTCAATATGCATTATATGTTTTTTTAAAATGTTTTAGATATTGTATATTTCAATATTTTTTTTATTTGCATTCATAACATAATCCTCTAAATATTTTGATTATTAATATTAATAAAATAATAGTATGTAAATTAATTTAATTATTGTTTTGAGCTAAAAATTCTTGTGATTTATTTGATGTTGAAATAATTTTTAATTTAAAAGATATTTATTTAAACTGAAATAAAATTAATTTTATATTGGTATATTATAACATGTCTATTTTGGAATTTTCAAAAACTTATGAAGATATTTATGCAATTTTTTCATCTGCTTAAAGAAGGGTTATTTGATTTATTTTTTCAAAAAAGTAACAAATAAAGTTACTTTTCCCGTAAAAAAAAGTAATGTCCTACACTAAAGTTAGAGTATTTTACTGAGAGGAGGGCATCTGATTTACTTTATAGTACTAAAAAATACAGCCTATTTTCACAAAATTTCAGATAGATAAATTGGCTGTAACTATTAATTCAAAGGATTTCAAGTTGGCCCGACATTTTTTTACAAGGTCGGGCAAATCTTATTTTTATGCCTTGCCACCTGCCCCTAGATTTTTTAAATATGTCTAAAAATTAAAAAGGGAAATTTCAAAATTTTTGAAATTCAGCTATATTTGATTAATTTTATAATTTATAAAAGTCAAAAAAATTTTATTTTAATTATAAAGGTTACTCAAAATATGAAAATGATGACATCTGTCTTAGAAAAAGCAATGAATTCTATGGATCTTGAAAAGGTTAATTTGTTTTTTATAGAAATGTTAGATAATAATTTAAATACCAAGGTATCAAAAATTATGGAAAAGTTTGAAAAGAATTTTGAAAATTTAGACGTCCAATCATCAGTAAATTATTTATAAATAAAATATAATTTCACAAAATATTTTATTGCCATCATTTTACCTAATAATTTTTTTACATCTTTAAAAAAATAACCATTTTAAAGGTCCTAGATCAATCAATGTCCTCCGCGACCACACTAACCATTCCAACGGATCAAGTTGAGACCCTCATAAAACAAGTAGCAGAGGAGAACGGGTTAGAAATAATGGGGCAATTGCCTTCTGTGAGCACTGAAAAGCCCATTTCTATAGCGGCTGCCGACTCCAATCGTTCTAGACAACAAGAAGATAGTTTGAATAAAAGGTAGTTTCTTTAATAAAATTAATCAACTCTTTGCCAAATTTTTTTAAATTCCATGCATTAACTTTTAATGTAAAAAAATGAATATGTTTAAAAAAAGTTAAAAGTTATTTTTGCTATCAACATTTATATATGACAAATCAACAAAAAAACGCGATTTTCAACCTGACCCCTTCAGATTTTTCTAAAATTTTTACAAGAGTTTGTATATATATTAAAATTAAGAAATAAAATTTTAGCCTCCAATTTCAAACATCGGCTGCGATATGGGCCTCTAAATGTCAAAGAAATAGGGCATTTATGTCAAAATGTTCTACAATATTTTTAAAAAAAATTTAAATGAAAAACCGGATATGATCATAAAAGCAAATCGGCTTTTTTTCTCAAATATTTTTGTATAGATATAGGACTAATTAATAAATATACAAATTTTCAAGTTAAACTCAAGTTTAGCAAATATGGCATTTTAATCATTATTCTATTGCCAATATTTTTTATATATATTTGATATTAATCAATAATTGTAATATAAGGCAAAAGCTAAGAAAAGTTATGTAAGATCTGGAAAAATATTTCTTTGTTTGCGGGGGAGGGGGGAGGGCTTTGATTAATATATTTGATGAATTGAATTTCTCTCATAAAAATAACTACAAAATGCAAATCAATTGGATTATATTTTATTGAAGACAAAATTTAATTTTATAAAATTTTTTAGTTTTAATGTTTGTAAATTGACTTCATAATATAAATTTAAAATATTTTCCTTAGACATGAAATCATGAAACTTTTGTATTCCAGTAGTGTTTGGTCTTTACAAGATATTTTTTTCAAATTCATCATCCATATGCGAATTAATTACATTGCCTTATAGAAGTTAAATATCTAAGGTGTTTAATATTTGATTCTCATATGGATGCTAGAGGCTAGCTCTTTCTGAACCGTTTGATAATGTTTGCCATGGGCTTTTTATGAAGAAATGCCATTCTATTCCAAAATCAAGTTATTGGTGTTAGATTATGACTTATTTAACATTTTTATATTAGATTTCTTTATCGTTAGAAGAAAAAAATATTTTTGATTTAAAATGATCAAATAATATATTAGTTTAAAATAAATAAATAAAATTTGGTCTTAAATCTGTAAATTTATTAAAGGTAACTTTTATATCAATATGATTTTCTTTAGAATTAAAATATGATTCCTTAAGATTGCATAAAATGAGTTTTCTTCAATTAGCTTTCCTTTATACTTATTGATGTAAAAAGGTTTTTATCAGACATTATACGACTGTTTTAATCGGAATTATAAATTTTTCCACGTATATATATAATATAATATTGAAAAACACTCCCAGACTTTATAAATTTGAATTAAAGAAAACATCCTTTTCCTTGACCAATTTTTTGGCTATCCTTGCCATGAATTCCATCATAGTGAATACTTCTTGTTTTCAGAGTCCAAGAATTTTATAAAATCATCAATATCTTAATTTTTTTATTTCGAGAATGTGTTGTTTCAAATTTATTTTACAATTGCTTAATGATTTCACATTCATCGTTAATATTTATAATTATATTCTGAAGAAATTTTTAAAACATCTTAATTTTTTCCTGGATTTTCAATTTTTTTTAATAGGGTATCTTTTTACCTTAAGCTTTTCTTCTTAATTGATATATCGCCGATTAATGTTATTGAATCGTTCAGATGGTTAAGGGCAGCATTGGATGTTGAAGGAAATGAGATACTGGTTGAAGCATATAATTTTTTTATTGCAAATTTTATCGTTAATTGTTAATATCTTATTCTGGTTTATCATCCAAGGAAGTATAAAAAAAAGGAAAAAAATAAGAATTTTAGGAACGATATAAATAAATTATTAACCCCCCCCCCCTCCCATCTTTTTCAATCTTTTATTTAAATACATAAAATATTTAAAAGCTTTAGGACTAAATATATTATAATTAATAACTTATCAGATATTTATTAAGAATTTTTACAATGGATTAATAAATAAAATACCATATATCCCAAACCTGTGCTCAGCCCATCTTGAAAAATACACACTTATTAATTAATTCTTTATGCATAAATTTGAGAAAAAAACACCGATTTGATTTAATCATCATTTCCGGTTATCTATTTCTGGTTTTTGACATTTAAATTATTTTAAACAATATTTATAAAGGCCTAAATAATGCTTCTAGCTCAATTATATCCAGAGATATCTAAAATTAATAGAAGTGCATTTTGGCCAAAATGCTCCATTTTTTTACACTTTTAAAGTCCTATATCATAGCTGCTGTTAGGAGTTGGAGGCTAAAATTTAATATTTTTCTTAGTTATTATATGCAAACTAGTAAAAATTTTATTAAAATCTGAGGGGGTCGGGTTGAAACTCAGGTTGATTTGTTATGAAATTCATATAAAAAGTTTCCCAGATTATTCATAATATTTTTGAATTAATAACATGTATGTAAATATAATATAACTAGGCATTATTCTTAAGACAACTTTTAATTTTAAGATTTTATATATCAAGAATATTAGTAAAAATTTTTAATCTTTATTTCAATTTTTATATATCAAGAATAAAGAATAATACATTGAGTTTAATAGCATGAATTTATTTCAATTTGAACAAAAGTGATTATTGTTAAACAAATGGTAAAAATCTCTCTATATTATAATTTTTGAAAATGAAACTTTATATCCTAACTCTTCTTTTCATTCTTTTTCTTTTTCTATCATTTTCTTTATTTTTGCCTTTTTTAATTTTTTTAAAATTGCTAATTTAAAAAAATTCGATCGTAGAAAAAAATTTACCATTAAATACATATATAACATACCCCATCTATAAAAAAAGCTATTATTCAATCGTACTTACCTGAGTTAGCAGCAAGGTTTCTAATTCTTCCTCTGTGGCTAAGCATTAAATTCTGAGGTACTACTCCTTGATTCTATCAATATCCCTACGTTATTGTTACTTATAGCTCGATTTTTATAAAATTAAATTAAAAATAACTCTTTAAATCAAATAGTTTTTTTATAATGATTATTCTCACCTTCAAATTATGTAAACATGGGAATGCAATTGTTACAGATCATGAGCATACCTATAGGCTTTCAATCTATGGCCAACGACTGGCTGAAGAATATTCACAATCAAGAAATCGGTAATCAAGAAAGATTGAACCCATCTAAAATAACATACTGAGCTGTAACACCTTATAAAATAATGCTTATAGAAGTTATTATCATTCTCATGCAGCTGATCACGTATAGGAAAATAGCCTAATAAAGAGTGAGTCATGTTATACAGTGTATGCGACGACAACCTTCAATAACTGGCACATATGCAGCGATGGTAGCCCATGATCGTCAACTAGTTGGACCTATTAAGCGAGGGTGATTGAGAAACTGACCACCACCGTGGAATTTTTCCGAGCTGCAGTGTTAGGAACGTTGGAATTTAATTAATCTAGCCACTGATGAAGAATTGGACACTTTGCTTCTAGCTTATGGTAGTACGATTGAATAATGTAGTTTTTTTAAATATATGGGACAAGTTCGAGGTTGTCCGATCCCACATTGATAACCACAAAATCTACCATAATTTAAAATTCCTATAAATCTACCATAAAATCTTTTATTTATATTAAAAAATATATTTTATAAAAAATATATAAACAAACATCTAACTATGTTCTATTATTTTCCTTTTCAGTTTATCAATAGAAATAGGGGTGATAATTTTCTTGATCAGTAAGCTCGGATTTTATTAGATTTTAATGGATTTGTTATCGTCATAGTCAAAAAAATTAACCACGCTAACACACAATTAACGATTTCTGGATTTAAAAAAAAATCAGCTGGCTTTTATAAAATATTTTCCTTTTTATCAATATATTTTTAAAATAGCTATATAAAAAAAGATACCCTCAGGTGGATCCAGACAAAATTGAGTCAAAGGCACGTAAAGGGGGAGGGTGATATCAGGGGCTCGGCTTAACCCCCTATATAAAATTATTGGAAACCCTGGGCATGTTTTATAGATTTATCTGTTAATTTTTTTTATCTATTGATTATTTTTAAAACCATCTCATTATTTTAGTAGCTTTTCCAGTGCTTTGTTCGCACGTATGTAGTGCTAATTTTATTGTTTATTGGACAATAATTTCCTTTGTTCAAATTGCAATAAAGATGTTAATTTTAACTATTATCTAATCGATAACCCATTAATAAAAAGTTAAGTCTTACGAATTATTCTTATATAATCTTAAAATTCATTTAATATACAATATTGTTTAGTGTAGTGTTGTTTGAAAGCTCTATTAGGGTCTTTAAAATTATGTAACCCTTGAGATTTTACCCATAGATGGCAGGGTGTGGACCTCTATTGGCCAAACCTCAAGGCTTACATAATATTATTTTGGCTGATATCTTAAACAGGCCGTTTAAAAATCGGGCTTTAAGGGTAATTAATTCATAAAAAATAACTTTGCAAGAACAATAATTTTTTTTAAAAAATATTAGATTGGCATCTTTAAGGGAAGCTAAATGAATGATACCTAACTTGACATGGTTCAATGCTGCCGCCCACTCAATTTCATAGATATTTATTTTTAATATTTCGATTTATATTTATATTTACGAAAATTATGTACAATTATATGATTATAATAAAATAAATTATATAATAATTCGCCTTACTCTAGTTTAGTTTAATGTAACTTAAAAATCTTTGATCTTGCAGTTGAATTTTAAAATAACTAGAATCCATTATCAGCTAAAGAACAGGTCTTTTTATAAAACTTGATTCATTGGTCTAATAATAAAGTTAATATAATAAATTAAATCAGAAAATTTTATGCCAATATGTCGTAGAAGTCGTTATGGACCGAAATAAAAAGGAACCCTAAAGAATTGGCTTTATATGGTTGTATGATTGTTCATATGATATTTTTTAAATGATATTTTTAGAAGATATGATTGACTATAAAATTAATATTACATTATTGTGAATTTTTTAGTTACATATATTTAAAGCGTAATAAATAATGTTTAGTTAAGGTTGAATTAGGTTCCCATCTTGGAAATCAAGACAATGTTGTCTGGTCAAAATATATTTTTGTTATAACTCATTCGTATTTATTAACATGGTTATATAAATTTTTTAAAAACATCAATCACTAAAATTTTAACTTTAACTTATTCTTTATTTGTTCTTCCCATTCATTACTTTTCATTCAAATATTATATAAAATTGCATCAATATACCCTAAAACCAGGCTTGTTAATCGATCCTTTTAAAAAGATCGAATCCCGATCACGATCTTTTGAAAAAAAGAGGATCGAAATCCAGGATCGACCTTTTTTTAAAAAAAGGATCGCGATCACGATCCTTTTCTTATTTAAATTTCTGATCGATGCAAAATTAACTAATATAAAAAATAAATAAATATGATATAAATTTATTGTAATTGAATAATATAATATAAGTATAACAATTAGAATATATTTATTTATAATTAAATTAGCTTTTAATAATAAAATTTTTTCTAAATTATCATCATTTAAACAACCACGTTTTTCATTAAGTACATGTTTAGCTTTACTAAACAAGCGCTCCACAAGAGCGCTTGATGGTAAAGGTGTGTTATATTCAAGAAATGTTTTTTTTAATTAACATAATTATTAAAAATATTCCCTGAATCATCTTTAGAATAAAAAAAATTATTAATGGAAAGAGCATTTTGTGACGAGTTTTTCCCAAAAAAGGTATCGATCCATGCATTCATTTGAAGGATCTGCATATGGTTGACCCTATATTTTCTAAATGGGCAATTAACCTTTCTTTTAGCAATAAATTTTGTGGCAGATTAATAAAAGGTCAATTGAGCATAAATTTTGGGTGAATTATTGATGCCAATATATTACTGTCATCATATAGTGAAGGAAATCTATAATTTTTATTATATGCATATTGTTATGATCTTCACAAATAATAAAAATTGTATTTTTAAAAGAATTACTTCTAAAATGCCTCTTTAGGTTTGAACTGCTAATCTCTGAAGAATATATTTTGTTTTTGCATAAATCATTGTGTGGTTACTTCCATCCGTTTCACATAAAGTAAAATACTTACGTAAATTATGAAATGGCAAAAGATTCTCATTCTCACTTATATCTGCTGTCACATCAATAGAAGTAGATGTATCATCTTCTAAATCTATAATGGAGGACATTATTAAAACCTAGAATTTATATTATAATATAATTAATAAATAAATATAACTTGTTCTTACAAAAAATTTGGGAAATTGTTGAAATATAAAATCTGATGGAATGGTGGTTGATAAAATATGATGTAGATAGATATTTTTATTAAAATAATATTTAAACTTAATTTTCAAAATTTTTATTTTATTTATTGCTTTTTAAGTAAAAAAATAATTTTTAAAAGGATCGGGATCAAATATGCAAAAAAATGATCTCGATCACGATCCACAATTTAAGGTCAGGATCTTAAATCCGAGAAAATTAACAAATTTAGGATCGAATCCAGGATCGGCGATCTTTTGATTCGATCCTTTAACAACTCTGCCTAAAACATAACCATAATTGGCATCAATTTAATATAAGATCTTGCTATAAAAATGGAATATTCAATACAGAAATTTCTTGCCGCAGTTTAAATAAATATTATTGCAGATATTTAATTAATTTTTTATAATACATGGTCGTGATTACTATTAAATTTAATTTTAATCCCACACCATGGCATAACTACGTCTTCACCTAGTGACGTAGCGCGTTGCCAAAAAAGTTATCTAGTAGTGTATTTTTAAAGGTTGTCATTTAAGTAGTTTTATGGTATGGTACAATAAAAACATGATTGGTATAAATATATAATTAAAATATTATAAATATATAATTAAAATATTATAGTTGACAGTGGTTGTCAGATACAGTTTAATTTGAGATTTAAAAGGTTACACGACAATCAAATCACATGTTAGTCACAAATTTAAGTAAAACTCCGCCTATTGCTAGTCCTTGGCTTTTACTGAAGTATTGTTATTAGAGTAGCGCGCTATTTTTCAGTAGCGGTAGCTATAGCCCGTTGCATATTTTAAAAAATAGCTATAAATACATATAAAAAAATTTTAAATGTATTTATAATTAATTCTAAAATAATAATCTTTTAATTTAATTATGAAATTTATATTTTAAAAATATGCATTATAAATCTTGTTTTCAAAAAATTAAAAATTCTAAATGTCTACAATAGATATTGATATTGGAAGATAATTTTGTACAAGCAAAGTTTACCATATTATAAAGAAAGATGGTTTCAAATTGTTTTTAACAGTGTGTCAAAACTTTTGATATATAAATTCTATTAAGGTTACAGGAATATAAAATTGTAAAAGTTCGGTTCATGTGAATTACATTGTATAGAGATCTAGGTTTGATTCAGATAAAACGTTTAATATTTTTTTTAATAAAAATTATGTGACCTATAATAGTCAAAAACCTATTGTTAAAATTTTTATCACTCCTACATTATATTATATAGTCTGCAGCTATTTGGGAAAAAAAGACTTTACAACATATTTTGTTTATTTTGCCGCGAATTCGCAGGGTCTAGGTCTAAAAATTTAAAAAATTGATCCAGACATTTATAAAAAATTTGAAAGATAAAATAGAAAATGATATTTTCTCTTCTTTTAAAATTAGAATTTTTATAGGATTATGATAATTTGTGATTTTTAAAAAAAATCTTATTTAACTTTACAATATTTTTAATTTATATTTCTGACAAAAATAATATAACATTAAAATAAAGAATTAAGCACGACTTAAAATTAAAATTTCAGGCCGTACTAAGGTTTAAAAATTAATTAAAATTTTAGACCTGGCATCCTGGGCTGCATGGTTTTAGTGTGTATTTGAGGTCTGCATTGGGCAGGTTTTTGGACCAAAAGCCCGCCCACCCAACGTTTTAAAAAAATTTAACCCGCTCGCCCAGCCCGCCCATAGTTTTCAAAAAAATATATACCCGCCCACCCCAAAATCAAGCACCAGAATTACAAGCTTTTAGAATAAGAATAGATGAAATAATAAAAAATGCTGATGGTATTTTATTTCGGAATGGCAGAATAATCATTCCGTACTCACTTCAAAAAAGAGTTTTACATATATTGCATACGAAACATCCGGGTATTAAATCAATAAAATCCATTACGAGACATTATATATGGTGGGAACAATTAGATAAAGATGTAGTAAAACTAGTAAAGTGTTCTTCATTTAAAAAAAACGATTGGTACTATAAAAAAAGAAATATTATTATTGATCATTTAATTAATGATTTTTCTTTAGTTTGTTTTTGAACTAAAATTTTAAATTCCTTAGGCCGCCCGCCCATTGTTTTCTTAACCCACCCGCCCATAGTTTCAAATTTTTTTATCCCGCCCACCCACCTGCCTATTCTCGAAAATTTTTTTGCCCGCCCATCCGCCCGCCACTTAGATAAGCGGGTGTGGGCTGGCGGGCCGAAACCCCGCCCAATGCAGACCTCTAGCGTGTATTGTGAGATCTATATATATTTGTGAAAAGGGCCGGTGTACATCCTTAACTCAACCGGAATTAGAATCTGGATGAATTGCATTTATTTAATTTTGGCGAATGAATGAAATATAGCCTTGGCTTCCTTATTTTATTCGTGAACTAAATATTTCACCTAATTTATTTTTTTATTGAATGACTTTTTATATAAATTTAGAGGTTTTTTTGTTTCAAAAACTGGTTTATTGATTCATTTTAGATCGCTCCAAATTTTTCTTGTACTGCTTATTTTTTAAAATTTATTTGACCTATATGCGATTACGTAATTTAGAAATAGGCCTTCGAGAGATTTTAAAGGAATATTTTTTTTTGTTATTAGTAGTTTTAAAAGTTACTAGTTGCCGTTACAAGGTGCATCTTTAAAAATGTAATTAGTTATATTGAAAGTTACCTTATGAATTTTACTAAGCATTTTTAATATAATATTTTTATTGTAAAAAATATATTTTGCAATAATTAAGGCAATCTAAATAAAATAATATTTTATTAATAACTTGTTTCGACGTATGCCAACGAGTTACTAAAGAATTTTGCATTGAAAAAAATTTATTTGCATCGAAAAAATATTATCATAAAATTGACTCAATAAATTTTTATCTGACTATATTAACAGTAAACTATTTTAAGAGTTCTAAAAAGTATGCTAGTTTTCCAAAAATAAGATTACCTAGACAAAGCAAACCTAGAAAGCGCTTGGTGTAATTTTAAATTTGAGAAATCATCAGATAGCAATGTAAATATTTAAGATATTTTAAAAATTAAATTGAAAGTATCAATTTACTTTTGTCATTACATTCCAAACAATGTAACTAGTTATAGTTATAAATTTCAAAAGTAATTGGTTATTTTTGACAAAAATATAACTAGTTATTTTAACAATAGGAACAAAATATTTATATAGGTTACAAATAATAAATAAGAAAGTTGTTTAATTTGGGCACTCGCTAGGGATCAGGATTTATTGTTCAAATTAGGCAGATATCGATATTATTCAGAGACTTGCAGAATTACCATCTACACTGCCCGGCCTTGCCCGGATTTTTTTTAAATATATTTATTATATTTAAAATT